TTTGCAGAAACTAAAAATTACATCTTGAAATTTATTGCGGGGGCCCTGGCTCTGCAATTCCAAGCTGTCAAAATTTTAAGTGAAAAGATATTTGCATGAAAAATAAACACAGCTTGAGAAACAGTATCCGGTAAAGCATTCCATTTATACCGGGGTCTAGAGTTTCCGAAACAGTATCACACATGTGTGAATGGCATCATTTAAAAAGATAAACAAGAGATAAGCCTATCTGAAGATTTCCGCCTGTTTACGTCGAACATTGATAAAAAGAGACAAATGTCTCACATGGCTTCGCTGGCAACCAGGGGCATCCCTTTCAAACACTTCCACCCTGGTCTAGTTGCGGGAAATGGCCGCCAGGAAGCGTGAGGCATCGCGCATTCAGCCAAAGATTCATTCCTATTTTAAGAGTATTTAGTGTATTAGTTTGTAACGTGTGCTTTAGAAATAAACTTTCACAACGTTCAACTTGTTTATTTATGCTGGTTTCTGCCGTTATTCGTGTATTTTCGATTATCCGGAATTTCGGATTATCCGCACACATCTTGAAATCTCGTGTCCCGAGAAGGCCGGATAATTGAATAAGTACTGTGTGTGTGTGTATATATATATATATATATATATATTTACATATATTTATAAACATAAATGTGTATGTATATATGTATATATATAAAAGTATATATATATATAAATTTATACATATATTTTTACATATATTTATAAACATATATATATATATATATATATATATATATATATATATAAATATCTATATATTTGTATATGTATATATTTATATTTATTCATATATATATACATATATATATATATATATATATATATATATATTATATATGTATTTTTTACACATATATTCATATATATATGTATATATATACATATATATATATATATATATATATATATATATATATATATATTCATATACATATATGCATACGTTTATATATTTGTATTTACATAATTTTATATATATTAATAAATATATATACTTATATGTATATTTATATATATATATATATAAATATATATATATTTAAATATATATATCTATACTTATAGATTTATAAATATGTATTTATATTTATATATTTATAATTATATATTTTTATTTATATATATATATATATACATATATATTCTTATATATTTATAAATATATATTTATAATTATATGTTTATAAATATATATCTATATTTATTTATTTGTATACATATATATATATATATATATATATATATATATATATATATATATATATATATATATATATATATATATATATATTAATATATATATATGTATATTTATATATTGGTATTTATATATTAATATTTATATAATTATATTTATATATTCATACAATTATCTCTCTCTCTCTCTCTCTATATATATATATATATATTTATATATATTTGTATATATATTTATATATATTTATATTCATATATATCTCTATTTATCTATATATATATTTATTTATATATATATCTATATTATATATTTATATATTTATGTATATATATATATATATATATATATATATATATATATATATTCATATTTATATATTTATATATATATATATATATATATATATATATTATATATATCATATTATATATATATATATATATATATATATATATATATATATATTCATATTTATATATTTATATATATATATTTATATATTTATTTTTATATTTTATATATATATATATATATATATATATATATATATATATATATATATATATATATATATATATATATATATATATATATATATATATATGTATATATATATATATATTCATATTAATATCTCTATATATTTATATATATATATTCCTATATATTCATATATATATATATATATATATATATATATATTCATATATATATACATATATATATTTATATTTTTATATGTGTATTCATATAACTTAACAAATATACAAATAATTGGCAGAAGTTAAATAATTTGAGGAAAATGAAAAGGCATTCTCCTTAAGCCTTAAGCGACTAAGTTCACGAAATCTGGCCTTCGTTGGCCAGATTTGTTCGAAATCTGGCCTTCATTATCATCATTATCATTAACAGTATCACTTTCATTATCGTTAACATCATTATTATTGCCAAGATCTTTATCATTATTATTGTCATTACCATTATTATTAATAGTATCATTTTTATCAACATTATTATTCATACCCTTATTATCATTACTTTTATCATTATTATTGCTATCATTGCCATTG